CTCTTGCTCAGGCTGGTCTCGAACTCCTGAGCTCAAATGATCCTCCCGCCTCGGCCTCCCACAGTGCTAGGATTACAAGCGTGAGCCACTGTGCCCGGCCAATATTGTACATTTTAAAACTACATATGTTCTCAAAAATTAAAAAATAAAACAAAATAAAGGCTAAGATTGAAGCCAGTGAGGTCCTAAGATTAGTCATAATGTTCCAGCGCATCCTGTTTGAATGGCTTCAAAGGTTCTTCAATAATACTGGGTAAGGGAAACAAACACCATCTCTGTGAAGTGGACTAGATATTATTAAAAACACTCTGGAGATGGCTAAAGGGCTTGCCACTTATTATTTGGCTGTAGCCAGAGCTGCAGAAACCATATGAAAGCTGTGCTCCTGCAAATTAAACACAGGCATTGAAACAACTTGCAAACATCAAATTTAATTTCCTCATTGTTAATACCAGACAGGAATAACAATCAGCATCATTTTCACTGTCCTTAAAACAAGTTAAGCACAGCTTTATGCCCCTGGCTGTTAAACAGAACAAGACAAACTCATCAAATGGAAACAATGCTTTAGAACCCCAAAATCTACCAGAAGCTAGACAGGACAGCGCACACTTCTCTGTCTTAGAATTTAACCCTAACCTAAACAGCTGCCTCAGCCAATACTTCTAGGGACCTATGGTCCAGCTACCTAGTCTGGGTGCTCTTTCCCAAACTGGCCCTAGCTTTTTCATTTCCCACCTAATTCTGAATGGCTCAAACTCTCCTGATCTTTTAGGTCCAGTTGTAAAGTCACTTCCTTTATGAAGCTTTTCCGAGCCTAACCACAACAAAATCCCTAACAATTGGTATATTCCTATGGCAATTCGGTTCTGCTACATTTTCTAGCCTATTGTTTTCTCTAAGTAAGGTCCTTGCAGGCAGAGACTACATTTGCACTTAACTCTACCTCTCCTCTCCTCTCCAACAGCTGGAGCTAGAGCCCAAACACATAAGGTGAGCTGGCTCAATCAGCATGTGGTGATCTCAGTATCGGCTCCAGTGCCAGCCCTGATTCCAGTCCACTTCAACCAGGTCACAGAAATTCTTCCAGCACCTTTGGTACAAAGTCACCACACACCGCCTCCTTGCTTCCAGAGAGTAAGTGCACTTGGAGCCTTAGATGCACAACAGGTCCGTTTCTTTTCAGAATCCTTAGATGAAATAAGGAAGTAGGAAGACACTCTTACCTGTTAAGCACTGATGGAGCATTCATCTACAAATGGGATACAGATGCTGGGACCCCAAGCACCCAAGCTGATCCAAAAGGGCACCACAGGAACAAACCAACTTATCAAACATTCATCGGCAGCCTTGGAGTTTTTCTTCCCATTACCTTCCACAGTGGCCACAATGTTACCAAAGCAGGCTCCAAATAAGCTCACCATTCATCACCCAGTGAAGGCTGTAATCTGCTAGTTGAGACTAAACTCAGACATGACATTTTTCAACAAATGCCCCCTCACCAGCTGTCCCACGGTTACCGCGTTCAGACCATTCAAAACAGCACAAGCCTAGTTTTATTTCTGATAGTGCCCATCAAGGGAACTGGAACTATTTTATTAACACATGAGTAAAGATAAGAATCCACTCCATTCTGAATATTTACCAAGCTTGCCAAGAGAATGCCTCTATTTCAAGTTTCTGCACATGCGTCTCTCCCTCCCACCTTCTTTCTGAGATGTATCTAATTTGCAAACGGAGAATTAATGCAAACACAATCCAAAGTCAAAAATGGCAAACGACCAAAATGTGCCCCGTGCCAAATCCAAATTATCCCATACGTGGGAAGTCCCACCGTCTCGAAGGCGGGCAGGGAACCCTTGTTCCGGGGATGGGAGTGGGCAAACCTCAGTGGGGAGGACCAGGCCGAGGCCGTCTAATGCCGGGCAACCCCCACGGATGGCTGGGCCGGGGGCTGCAGCCCGGAGGGGCGACCAAGAAAGCCGGCGGAAGGACCGCTCAGACCAGCACGGCTCCCTCCCGGCCCCGCACGGCTCCCTCCCGGCCCCGCGGGCAACCCGGACGAGCCCGACCCCCTCCCGCCCGCCTGCCCGGCTCACCCCGCCCCGGTGGGCAGCGGCGCACCCCAGGCCCGGTCGGGCCAGCTGCTCGGCGGACGCCCGCGGCCGCGCAGGGCTCACTCTCGGCGGCGCGCGGCGGGCCCGGGCCCGCTCGGCACCATCCTCCCCGCCGCGCCGGGGCAGCGTCCGGCTCAGCGGGGCCCACGGGAGGACGAGAGGCCAGCCAGACTCCCGCCGCGGCAACACGGGTAGACTTGAGCTCCGGCAGCCGTGGTTTCCGGGTAAAAAAAAAAAAAAGAGAGAAGGAAAAAAAGAAAACGCCACCGCCAACGCTGCCGTGACCTCCGACACCTGGCGCCCGACGGCGGCGCGGCCGGGACAAGATTCCTCGGACGCGGGCGGCGGAGACCACGCCTCCTAGCTGAGTCGCGTGTGTGCGGATGTGCGTGGAGTACGTGATCTACGCTCGTGGATCTGTGTGAGTCTGGCGTTCTGTGCGTGCATGCGTGGTGCGTATATGTGGATCTGAGCGGGTCAGGATGCATCGTGTGCAAGGGTGTGTGCAGTGCACATGTGTAGATCTGCGTGACTTTTTGTGCGCGTCTGTGGTGTTGTGATGGGTGTGAGCATATGGTGTATGTGCATGCTAGGCGTGTATGGAGTGCGCACGCATGTGTTAGTGTATGCAGTGTTCACAGGCTCACGTGTGTGCTGTGTGTGCGTATCTGTGCTTCTGTGCTGGTATATTAATCACTGCCGATAAAAGTATAATTGTGTGCAATCACTTTGTAAAATAATTTGGCATTATCCACTACACTTAAAGATACACTCATTTTCTCTTGAGAATGTATTACCCTGGAGAAACGCACATGGGCACAAGTAGACAAAATAATGTTTACAGCAACGCTACGTGTAGTTACTAAAAACTGGGGGAGGAAGCAGATATCCAAACAGTCAACTGTAAAATAAGAACAGACTTTGATGCATTCATGTATAATCAAATAAAAAACAGCAGTGAAGATTATTGAATACGGCTTGCACAATACTGGAGATCAATCTCAGGATATAATATGGGGGGGAGCAAATCACAAAATGATACATGGCAGCGTAATTCCATTATGTAAAATTCCAATCCCCTAAATCTATTAAAATACAAAGACATCATAGACTCCATTTTGAGCTGTTTCAAGGTGCTCTATGAGCATTTCTATGGTTCCCGATGCAAGAGGGAAACGGGTTTTGTCTTATCTGTTACAGGAGGAAAGCAATCGGAGCTCACCCCTGGCCTTTCCAGACCTGTTGCTGTGGAACAGCCTTTGGCTGTGATATATATGTTTAATGTTGCTGCTATATTGTACCTTTTTTCTGTAATAAACTGTGGATTTGTTAGCACCAGCGTTTGGGGTCCTGTGAGACTTCTTTACCAGCCACACTCTGTTAAACTCTATTTAATTGCCACCATTAGTGCTGTTGGTGTCACAAGTGAGATTTATTGGGCAACCTCTGATTCGTTCCTGACTGAAAATACAGTTAAGGCATTATTTAGAGAGAAAAAGGATGATTCTGATAAAAGGGATGAAAATCAAGCTATTTTTGTTTGAAATAGGACAGACTTTGAAATCAGATACTAATAATAAAATTTTCCAGCAAAATATGGGAATGAAAGAATCTGAACTTCAGGAGCTAGAAAAATGGATCAGAAGGGAACTACAAACTGAGGTCAGGTCAGCTAAGATTCCAGTTCCGTGGTTGCTGCTTTCAGCATTAGGAAAGTGAAAGTAAATTCAAAATCTCTGTCAGTTGAGCTATGTCCCCCGCTCTGGTTTTCATTGTAATTTTTGATCAATCAGCTAAACCTGTGAGACCCATAACAACAAAGAAGATAATTCAAGTGGGGTAAGATGACAAGGGAGGGCAGGAAATCATGGGAATAAGGGGTTATTCAGTGCAGGAATTGAGCCATATTGTTGATCATTACAGGCATCACCCTGATAAACTTTTGTTAAAATGGGTCCTGAGAATTTTAGAATAAGGAGCAGTATGTCTGGCTTTGAACACTGCTGAGTAGAGAGGGAATATTTTGACCCATGGCGTGTCCCCTATTGGCCACTTCCTTTGTGGGGCTGGTTCATGGGGAAGCCCCTTGATTATTAGAGCGGATTAACAGAAGGGTCCATCATACATGCCCAGAGAAGGATAATTTCACAGGTTCTTCCTTGTCATACAGATGGTCACTGCGTCCAAAGCTGCGGACACACTGCAGACGCAGGCAGCATTGAACTGTCTATGTAACAACAGAACCAAGTGCCCTAATGGGATGTCCCTCACTCAGGCTATGACTGATACTGTAATTAAAGGTGTCCCACCAACATGGGCACCATATGTGTCTTAGCTATTGAGACCTCAGGAGAATGTTAGAGGCAGCCTCAAATCTTTTATCTTAGCTACCTTATAGGGGATTTCAAATTTAAAAAAAAAAATAAATAAAGGTTAGATGATATAGCCACTTTAGAAAACACTCTGGCAGTTTCTCAAAAAGTTAAACATAGAGTTACAATTTGACCTCGCAATTCTACTCCTAGAGACCCAAGAAAATTGAAAACATATATCCAAACAAAAACCTGTTACACAAATGTTCATAGCAGCATCATAATAGCCAAAAAGTGGAAACAAATATTCATCAACTGATGAATGGATAAACAAGATGTGGTAAATCCATACAAGGGAATATAATTCAGCAATAAAAGGGTATGAGGAACTGACCCATGCTACAGCATGGGTGAACAGTGAAAATATTATGCGAAGTAAAAGAAGCCAGTCAGAAAAGATCATGTATGATCACATTTCTAGGAAATGCCCAGATAGACAAATCCATGGAGACAGAGAGTAGATCAGTGGTTGGGTTGCCCAGGGTGGGTGGGAAGCAATCAGGAAATCAGTCGAGAGGTGGTGACTCAAGTCGAGCAGGGTTTCTTTGCGGAGTGATGAAAATGTTCAAAAATTGATTGTGTTGAGACCTACTCTCAAAAACAAACAAAAAATTTTGGATCCACTCTCAAAAAAACATTGTGACGATGGTTGCACAACTCTGTGAATATACTAAAAACCATTGAAGTGTATACTTTAATTTGGTAAATTATACGGTATGTGAATTATATCTAAACAAAACTGTTTTTTAAAAAGGTTAGAGCTTTACATAAGAAAGAAAATCAAACCAAGACGGGGTAAAAATTCAGGCTCTTATGTGGAAATCTTTAAACAGTTAATTTTTAAATGGCATGAGAAAGGAGGAAATTGACAAAGTGCTACTAAAACCTTGATAGCATTTTATAGGAATCTGGGATTCCCACAACTAAGTCTTCCCAAACTCTCTAGGATGTAAAATTCCAAGGCTTAGAAAATTTTCAGAAAGAAAAAGTTTCCAATAAACCTACAGCATCAGAAGCCAAAATACCCACTTTTGACATTCAGGCAGGAATTCTTTGTCTTATATTTGCAAATATGCCCTAACAGTGAGATTGTTTCAAAATCTAAAAATAAAGCGACATTCCTTATTAAAAAAAAAAATCGAAGTTGGTAATAAAGGAAGAAGATTGACACGAAGGCCAGGCTTTCTTGATCCAGCTCCCAGTGGGGTTCCCAAGGCCTTTCACAAACGTGTGAGTGAAACGGTCCAAGGTTGAGAAGGAATTCTTGTAAGTTCACTGGGTACAAGAGCACGGTGCATAGTCCTGCCCAGGCCTGCTAATGAGCCCCCTCAGGCAATAGAATTCATTCAGGGGCATATGGGGATGCTACTGCGGAAGGGACCAAAGTTAAAGTCTGGTTAAAAGTTGGAATTTGTGATTTTCTAAAAGGCATATTGCGATGGTATCTCCCTTACCCGAATGCTTAATGGGTACAGAGAGAGGTAAAGTCTGAATGGAAATTCCTCCCCCTGCTGGGTAAAATGAAATAAGGAATAACATGCATTTTTGTCCGACTGAACGTGCAAAATGGGTGCCTTTAGCGTTACCCAAACCAATTCAAACAATAAATTTGAAACAATATCGGAGACCTGAAGAGCAACAATGAATTCTTGCTCTAATTAAGGAAACATTAGATGCAGGTTTATCAGTACTCACCAATTCACTGTAGGACACCCGGCTGTGGCCAGTGGGAAGGGCTGACAGACCATAGACACGCACAGTAGGCTACAGGGGGCTCAACAGAACAGCACCCCCAAAAGCCTCAGAAGTGCCCCACATGGTGCAGACTATTCTAACTGAAAGAGATGTATTCTATAATGGTCTCTTAGCCGGGCATGGTGGCACACACCTGCAGTCCCAGCTACTCAGGAGGGTGAGGTGGGAGGATTGCTTGAGCCCAGGAATACGAGGCTGCAGCTAATCAATGTTTCTCACTGTCAGTTGCTAGGGAGAGCCAATAATAATCTGCGTTTATGTGCAACAGTCTACAACATGTACTGTATTCCTTGAACGATATTTGAACTCTCTTGAGTAGTGTCACGACCTGGTAAGGTGGGACCTAGAGCTGATAAACTGGACGTTGTTCTAAATATGCTATATCGATGATGATACATTTATCCGTGAGGCTGAGGCTCAAGCTACAAACAACCTTATTAATGTCTTAAATCCTATGACTGATTAGGGATGGTTGATTAACTGCAAAAACCCAAGGCCCACACAGACTAGACTTGGGGGAATTACATGGATTGCAGTGACCTATGACCTACTGCACGCAGACCACTAGGAATAAGTTATTGTCACTCCTCACTCCTCACATTGAACAAGAAGCTCAATGCCTAGTGGGCCTATTTGGCTTTTGGAGAAATTATATCCCTCACTTAGAAATACTATTAGCCTCAATCCATAAAATCATCCAGAAAAGAGACCATCTTTGTTATTATTTCTTTTGTTCTTTACATATATATATAT